ACGCATCCTTTAGTCTCTCCATGATGCGGCTTAATATTTTGCTTGGGGTGGGTGGACAGCAGCGTGATTCCGTTCCAGTTCTTGCAAAGACTTAGGTCGCCCTTCTTCGAGAGTTTGACAAGGTAACCCTTCTTCCAATCAATGGCCAGGTACCTTCTCTTCCTTCCACACCTTCTGCAATAGTGGTGTGGTGCGAGTATGTCCGCTGCTGTTGTCTCTGCGTCTGTTTTCATAGCTTCTGGCGGGATCCCGTCTGGTCCTGCTGTTTTCCCGCATTTCAGTAGCTTTATGGCGTTCAGGACTTCCATCTTTGTTGGAGGATTTATGTTCACTTGCCGTTCAGCAGCTGGGCTGTAGGTGGTATTTCTGGACGAAGTGCAGGTGGTGGTCGATTCAGGAGCTTCTTGAAGTGGTCGGCCCGTCGTTTCCTTTGTTTCTCTTCTTTCGTAATTAAATTTCCTTCACCATCTTTTATTGGCTTCGTCTGCGTTGATCTCTTCACTCCCAGATAGTAACCTGGTTATTTGACACAATGTTTTCAGATCTCTCTTACCTACAGCCTGTTCTGCTTCCCTTGCGACTTTCGTAGAAGTGTCTTTTGTCTTTCCGTACACTCTTCTTCACTTCTTTGTCCAATGTAGTGTTTTATACATTCTACTCAGTTCCTCTTGTTGCTGAGCATCCTTGCACTGGTTTATCTTCTGCTTCACCATCCTCCTCTCCCTGCTCTATTAGCTTCCGTGCATCCATCAACATCCATTCCTTATCTTCTTTCTTCTTCCTTAGTAATACGGTTGTGCAGGTTTCGTTCTATGCCTCTTTCAAAGACTTCCAGTGTTCTTCCACACAGGTTTGTGCAGGGATGTTGCTCGATATCTTCCATTTTGTCTTGATGGCTGACTGACGTGAAGATTTCCTTTGTAGTTTTGTCCTTCAGTTTCTGTCCTGAGTGTTGTACTTGAACTGCGGCCTATCACTAGCTTCCTTAAAGGCTTTTAACTTGATTTGAAAGATTCCTCGCACTAGATAGTGGTCTGAACCTATATCTGCTCCTCTTCTTCACCTTGTATCAAGTGGGCTGCATCTCCACTTTCTTCACATTGAGATAAAGTCGATCTGATTTTTAGTGTGTCCATCTGGTGAACTCGAATCTATGTCGCTTTGTGGATATCCTTGTGCTTGAACACACTGCCTGACTCCAATCACCAAATCGCTGAATGTACAGAATTCTGCAAACAATTCTCCATTCTCGTTCATCACCTCACCGAGCGCTTCTCGACCGACGGTTAGTTCTCTTCCTGTGTTGTTTTGATATCGCCAACTGCGGTGAGGTCTTGTCCAGTGTTGATTGAAGTTGTCTGTAGAATTCCTCTTGCTTCTCTTGCTCTGCATTATTTGTAGGTGCGTAGTATTGGCATTGTATGATTGTGACCTTCCTTCCTCTTGAGTTGAACCTTGCTGTCATGATCCTACATGAGGGCCTTCGATGCTGTTGGGGACATCATGATAGCCACTCCAAAACTCAGTGTGCCCGTGGTTGTCGTCTGGATGACAATATCGGAGTAGATTATTGACTGTCCAGTTGGTAGTTTGGAGAGTCCACTCCCACTCTATCTACTTTCGCAAATTCCAAGCACTTCGATGTGATACCTCTTCATCTCGTTTGCAATCTGGGCCGCCTTGCTGGGTTCAAACATCGTACGGACATTCCATGTCCCCACGTTTACTTCTCGGTTTCATCGAGAGAAGAGAAGACACATCGGCCAATTGTCTTCCCGAAGGCTTTCACCAACTGCTGTCATTTCGCCTCTCCGATTCCAGCGAGGAATAATTTTGTTATTATTTTTGATATATAGTTTGTGCTTTGAAGTTTCTTTAGCAGTTAAATTTGTTTTGCAGGGTAGGGTTGCTAACCTTATGCCCAACCTTCCTTCTTTACCCGGGCTTAGGACCGGCTAGTAACTAGTGAACTAGTTAACCAGGCGAGGTTTCTATCTTAATACCATGCGATTTTATTCACAATTAGGATTATGGTTTTCGGGTGATCTGCATTTGATCGGAATGAGAAAACGTTGGTTGCAACAAATAATACCACCATATCGTCAACACTTGTCATTTCTTAGCAGGTTCGTTCTAGAAAATAGTGTGACCTGGACTTCTGTATTTTACTAATCAAAACTCATCACCGGCGCAAAACTTCAACATCTCACGGTGGATTTTGGTTAGTACTGTGATTTAAAGCATGATATTACATATTTCTTGACTGTACTGAATATATTTCGATAAAACATGAACACACCCTAGATAGCTCATTTATAAAATTTAAATTTACGGTGTTGAACAGTGCTTCTACAATTATCAAAGGCAACAATATCTCTTAGAATTCCATGAGATCGTTTATAACAGATTAAAATCAAATATATGCCACTGATGTCGACTGACTTAGCTTAATGACACAAGCGTTGTCAATGGACTGGTCAACATTAAAGACTACAGTATAATACTAGTCGATACCCTGTAGAGGATCAATACGTCTTTCGTCGACGAGCCAAGTGTTTGCTCTTCGTGTCAAGTTGACCGGATCCCCATGATAGTCACTTCACTTTTCTGTGTAATGTTGTTTTTTACTGGATATTCTATTTTGTATTTTTCAGTTAATAGTTCAAATAGTCTCATTCTCAACAGTCCTGTTTCTTTTTTCTTTACTTACCATCCAATGTGAAAATACAATTACATGAAAACAAACATCCCCACACAACTTTCCGAATAAAACAAATACCTTTCTACTGTTCTACTTATGACTTCCACAAGGAAGTCAACCCTTTAAACACTCATAAAACATCTGTATAATCGTCTTTTGATACACTTATGAGTTTTCCATGGAGCTTTCAACATGCTAATTAGACGAATCTGAATAGGCACATATTGTACAAGCACTAAGTTTATAAAACTAAGTAGTCTAACACATCAACTTTGATTGGAATAATGAGTTAACCGAGAAGTACAAAAATCTGCCTTCCTTCAATATTTGAGGTCCACTGGTTTAAGTAATCGACCATTAATCAATCACTTCTGGATTGGAATACAGAGTTAACAACCAGATAACATTGACCTTCTAAGAATATGTGACTTACAGTTTTATTTACAAACCTAAACTCACTTAACAGTTTCTTCTGCCCTTTCCAAAAACGCTAATGGGAACGCTTTAATCATTTATAGAAATCTAGTTCAGCTGAAGGAACGAAAGCTGTCCACACTAAACTGTCACTTTAAATCCCGTTAGTTGGTTCAACTTGCTGAGTGAAGTCCTTTTCTTTACTATCATATGAAGTTATTAGATGAATGCACAACTAACTGACTTTTGAAGATAAAATTCATGAATAAAGCAGCCAACTCTAAAGAAAGATGGTAAAAGTCGAATGCATAAAACATTCTACAGAAGAAACTATACAAATGTAAGCTTTAAACAACAGGTAATCAAAAACTACTTGTTTAAAAACACTCACAAATATTTCTGCAGATTCACCTTGATGAATAATTTGCAGATAATAAAATTCAGCTTCACATGTTTACAAATAAATAGATTCCCAACTATTCTTTGGACAGTTTTACTCCAAACTATCAGATGACATATGTGGCAACCTTTCCTAGACAACTAATGTCTTAACGAGATGAAATATACTAGTGAATATAGTTAGTAGCAGCGATCTAGCAATGGGAGTTATAACGATCTGGTAATCTGAAGTACATTTACGACATACTGGAGAAAAGCTAATCACATTTTCTATATGCATTAATCAAGGAAAAGATATGACACGACAATAGAAGACTACGGTAACTCAAGCAAAAACAATTATTTCACATAAAACGCAAGACACTAGTTCACGGCAGACAGATAAAACCAAAGTGGAAATTCCCGCACAAATGCATCCGTTTTAGTCGCCACGCCTCTTAGCAGTATACATAGGAACAAGTGGATAGAAAAAAAAGATATAAAAGTAAGCAAAAGTGTAAGGGGGAAGAGGGAGTTTAAAAATTAGGGTTAGTCAGAGCATCCAGGCTTTAGAAGACATTAAACAGTGAAAAGATCTGCACCATTGTGATTTACCTTCAACCATGCCATCAATAGTCTTCAAATATTGATTCCTATCATCTCAGGAATCCCAGCCAGGTGGTCTATATATCCCAACACTAATCGGACCAACAGTCAGAGACTTCATCGATTCGTGCCACGTCTTCGTCTAGCCACTCTCAACCTTCATCCAACTTACCACAGTATTGCACGTCAAGGTAGGCAGAGACTTGGCATGCGCAGTACACGTCTAAGCTATCCCAATCGACTTGCCTGTCTTACCTAGTACCTTTCACCTGACCTCAATATTGCTCACACGGGGATTCCACCAAACACCAGCAATGCTACGAAGGCATCTATATTCAAACACACATGTAGCCGCTTAATCTCTTATACTTTCAATGACCATGTCTCACAGCTGTACAACAGGATAGAACGAACGGCACTGCAGTATACTTGTCCTTTGATAGATAGTTGAATATCTCACAGGTCGTACCAGAGGTGACACAAGTTGGCAAATGTCAAACGGGCCTTCTATATTCGAGCTGAGATTTCCTCAACAACCAGACCGTTTAGGCTGATGCAATTCCCCAAATAGGTGAAGTGGTCGACACATTCCACCACTTCACCCCCTATCATTAAATTGGAAGTAATTGCAGCAGACTAGTCCTATAGAATCCTCTTACATTTGACAGATGACAGCGAAACGCATGTCAAACATATTCGGATTTCTGTCCAACGCGTGTGCTCAGAAGATCCTGCATTTTGTCAGCGTCTTCAACTAGCATGACGATATAGTCTGCGTACTCCAAATCAACTAAATGACCTCGAGCGAGTAGATGAATCCCTATGAAGTCGGACGTATCTGAGGTTATATCCATTAGTACATCTGTAACGAAATTAATTGGTACATGAGAAAGTGGAAAAGGAAGAAAACTCCAAAATGATTTATTCAGTACCCAGATAACTAGCCATAAACCCAAATCCAAAAATATGACAAACGTGGTTACTGTTAACACAGCAAAGTAACGGTCTAATTATACTTAATACAAAACACATATATTCATCTTTTAAGATCACTAATATTGGCAAGAATGAACCATAAGAAATATAACCAAAATGTATTAAATAACAAAAAGCGGCAAAAATCAAGGAGTCAATCGCTTTGGATCACGTGGGAACATGGATGTTTTCCTGATATTATCAAGTCCAAGGAACAGCATAGTTACTCGTTCAAGACCTGAAACAAAAAGTGTATAATTAAAGATGATATATTTAGTGCGAACAGTGATAATATGAGATCAACACAATAATATAAAATCACACACAACAGTCAAAACAAATATTCCCGAAACTGAAATATTAATGGATGAAGTACATCCTTAGGATTAAAAATCAAAGTAACACTGAAAAAGCACTGAATCAATAAACAGCCATGACCACATCTCAAAATTTGAAGTACCTAAACATATTTAAACTTATATATGGCAACAGGTTAAAAGGGTGTATAACTCACCAATCCCACCACCAGCATGAGGTGGACATCCGTAACGAAAAGCATCGATATATGCTTTAATCTTTTCTACATCTGTAACAAAAAAAGAGGATATATTCTATGAGCGAACAGAACTAATAAGCTGTAATACTACATTATATACATAAATATACTTCCAAAAGACTACCCTTAAAGATTTTCAAGCTAGTAAATTATCATTACCATCGTTCTAACTACAGGCGGCGGTACGGACGAGGATATCAAAACCAGGATCGGAAAGACAGCAAGACAGGCTTTCACTAATCTGAAATCAGTATGTATAGAGACCTACTGTACTTCACTCAGCACAAAGAACAACATTCGGATTTTCAGCACTAATGTCATCGTTCTAACTACAGGCGGCGGTACGGACGAGGATATCAAAACCAGGATCGGAAAGACAGCAAGACAGGCTTTCACTAATCTGAAATCAGTATGTATAGAGACCTACTGTACTTCACTCAGCACAAAGAACAACATTCGGATTTTCAGCACTAATGTCAAGTCAGTGCTGCTATATCGTTCAAAAACTTGGAGTGTCACAAAAAGCATTTCCAACAAACTACAGACATTCATCAACAGCTGACACCTACGTTGGCTCGATACTGAAGATCAGATGGTCAGAAAGAAAAAGCAAAAAGGAATTCTGGCTGACTGGCTGGCTGGCAACGAACCAACCGACAACCTATCACCCAACAAATATGCAGAAGCAGAAAGTAGAGATGGATTGGATTGGGCATACACTGAGAAGGCTGACTGGGGACATCAGGCAACAGGCCAGACCCTCGAGTGGAATCCAAAGGGGAAACGACGAGTCGGGCGTCCGAGGTGAGGGTGATATGGAGATCGTGTGAGGAAGAAATGAAAGCTTGTGGGCGGTTGTGGCGCTAGGTTGAAAAGACTGCAGAGAACAGAGTGGAATAGAGAAGTGCTACTGAAGCCCTATGTTCCACTAGGAACCCAAGGGAAAAGATAATAATAATAAGGTAAGTAAAAATCGAATACAATGAGACTGTTGAAAATGTCAAACAGAAGTAAACGATATTTCAAAAGAAATCCATACATGTCACAAAATACACACTGTATAAAATAAAGACCAGCAGTGGTTTGCTTCATATTAACAGCTGTATGAGGAACTTTAAGTACTAATGAAATAGGTGAGCATCAACAAACATATGTGCGTAGTTCTTGTTAAAAACAAAAAAGTATGTAACCATAAGGCTGCATTAATTTTTCTGTTAAACAAACTATGATAACCAAACAACAATGCTCATATGGGAGTGGTTTTGAGTACAGCATGGAACACAGAACACACAACCCTGATATCAAGAAATCATACCATGAACCGAGTGTGATTAAAAGCTGGTTCGGTTTCACAGTGGATAAGGTATCAATATAGAACTTGGAAAGCGGGGAGGAATTAGAATGGCTAAACCTATAAGGAAAAATCGGAAAATTTATATGAAAGTACAAGGGAGAAAGGGGATACTAACACAGTATGTTACCATGATTGTGAACCGGGTATACTGTAATCCCGTGGCATAATGATGCATATTTTTATACAAAATAGAAATTCGACTTCTCAAAGATTGAGTTACAGCTAGCAAATACCCTAACTGACTTAAATTATCTGGATGACATAATCCTATTAAACAAAGATATTGATAAAATCCTGAATTCTCTGAACATAATGTCCAAAATGGCAAGTCTGTATTTTCTAAATGTATAATGATGTATGGTCCCAGGTTCAAACCCATCTCCATTTACTTTAACTTGGTCAAATGAGTAGTATCAAGCGCGTTAACACACAGTATTTGTAGCTAACAGCCTAACATATGAGTACCAGTACTCTGATGGATTGAAATATTGATAATATATGGTCATGAAACAGCCACTGAAGGTAATGAACATAAAAGACCAAAGATATTTGACCACACTGAGCTATGTAGTACAATCAATGTTATAGAACCACTACGTGAACAATGTAGACATTGAAGTTTCACATAAGAGGTAAGGCAATTGATGACTTCAGGAACAGTTTTTGATTCAGGTGACTAGGTGGTGCTACACATGATGAATTACCATCCATCTCAATATACTATGTTGGCTGAAGTAGGATTAGATTGGAAAACGTCCGAGTGAATATAAGAAAGGCAAAAAACAATCTATACAGTTTAATACCATCAGTCTGTTATGTATGGAAATATGACCTTTCCAGTCTGGGTTTGCCACAGAATCAAGCAGATGACCCCATATTTTACACCTTATGCGACGTGGTTGAAATTCGATCGTCGTGTGGCACGTGCATTCACTGCTTATCCCCATCTAAATCATGATACCAAATATCAATTTTTCCCCATTGTCTTCTCTCGAATAGGCAATGTTTGTGGCTTTCAATATAACTTTTAATGATCTTATGCTGATGGTGACGAGTAATAGGTACAGTGATGCGTATGGAATTAATATTACATGCATTAAAAATTCAATTTGAAATATACTCAACAATAAAATGATATTATCTTACCAACTCCATGGTGTTTAGCGCGTTCAGTTAGAAGAGTTGCATCATGGATACGTTGTGCACCAGACATTATTTCTTCTCCGCGCATGAAAAAGTCATACGAATTAGAATAATTCTATTTGATATGAAGAAAAAAGTGCAACATTTTATCATAGATGACCACCAGTTTTTAAAAAAATATCAAAACCACTGTGAACGCTTGAAAACCACTTATGCAGATGGGGTAAGTCAGCAGAAAGCATGATTACTTCTATAAATATGTACACATGATACCATACTGTAAACCATGCCTATTCCATGAAAGCAAATACTAGATGCAAATTACCATCAACAAAAACCACGTTTCATATACTGCATAAAGATCCATAAAGACTCTACCGACGTGTGCAGACCGAACTGAGTGGTCTACGTATTTAACACAATATATCCGAAAATCAAGTCTAAGTAACTGAATAACAGAAAGACAAAGTAATTGCCAGTTTTTAAAGTTAACAGAATTCATCATATGCATTTAGCTGAAGAACAAAAGCATCAGGAAAAAAGGGCTTCGTAACAAGTGAATAATAAATACAAGAAGACTATATAAAACAGAGCTTAAAAGCCGCGAGAAAAATCTATAACAATCGTATTACAAGTTTGAATAATATTTTCATTTGGCATACATGAATGCTGATTTCGACGCCCAGCATGAAAGAGATTCCAAACGATGGCTATTCGTATGGACAAGAAAACGCCAAATTTAGGTACATGTAATTAGCTTTGCTATTAGTGCGAATCCCCCCAACAATAGCACCTCAACAGGAAACGCTTTGAGTCAGCACGAGGATAGACTGAAACTGATGAGTAATGGCAATTAAAAATGTTGAACGAAACTTCTATTGCAATTACACAACTTAAACATTATTAACATACCTTATCGGTAGGATGTGGCATAGTATAGAAGGCGCGAATATCGAGCGGGAACTTATCGAGAATATAAAAATCCGTATGATACTTCTCTTTAACCAGTTTTCCGAGAAACTTTTCAGCAGGTGTGCTCAAATCATCTAAATCACCAATCTCCCAACCGGCATCTTGTAACATACGAATACCTTCTTGATACTGTAAGCGCAACCTTTAAATGGATACAAGAAAAAGCTAGACATATAATACATACACTAGGCCATTGAAAATGAAGTGCTTCTATTTGCCACATGACCTATTTCATATTTCATAAGATGATTTGCTTAAAAATAATTGGAAAAGAAAGCATGAGAAAAAACGTACGTGGGTTCTAAGAATTCGAAAGGCTCAGAATGATATTGCTGACATATTGTTTGAATTTCAGTTTGGTATCTAAAGTTATTAAAAAGAATGAAAATCAAAATTTGAAAACCGTTTTACTACATCCGAAATTAAGAAAACATTCCAAGCTGTGGTACGACAGTTTAATCGATACAGTGACAAAAACACCACTCGAAATTCCTTCTCTGTTTGGAACTGATATATTAATAATGTATTCTTACATCGACTGAAAGTGAGAACATCAGGGGGAATACATAATAAAATTCATTAGCACACAGAGATAGGAATGAATGACAACTCCACTGAAGAAACAATCTAATCCCTGAACGAATGTATGTTCGCTAATCATGGTTATGAGTAAACACTGAACAAGCACTTTTCAATATGTCAAGCTCATCATCATCATTATCAACATAGGACCAGGCATTACTGCGTAACGGTCCGAGTTGCCACACCTCATATCAGCACATCAAGTAAAAAGGTAGTGAGGTGAAGGATGAAGATAAGTGAATGCAGTCAAAAGAAATATAAAGTACGAGAAGAAAGGAAAGAGGAGTGACAAAATAGTGAGATTCGGTATAGCGTTGTTAAGATGAGGATAATGTGTGTATACATCTGCGCCACTGACTTCGGTTCTGAGCCATATCACCTAGGGTCTCCAACCACTGGTTCCTCTTGTCCCGTGGACCCCAACCACCTAGTCTGCATCGTCCTACATGGCTTAAACCAACAGTCAGAGACTTCATACATTGGTGCCATGTTTTAGTCTGGCCACCTCGGGCCTTTTTCCAGCCTGAACCCACCTCAGCCAACATTGTGTGACGAGGCAATCGGTGACTAGGCATACGTAGTACGTGTCCCAACCATCTCAGTCGATGAAGGTTCACAACCTCGTCGACTGACTTACCTCTTCTCCCTAAAACTCTACACCTAACTTCTGCATTACTCACATGGTGACACCACGGAATACGTCCTATACTACGAAGGCAACGGTGGTCAAACACCTGAAACCTTTTTGTATCCTCCACTTTCAATGGCCATGTTTCACAGCCATACAGTAGAACAGAGCGGACTGCTGTGCAGTACACGCGACCCTTAATAGACAAACGAATATCACGGCGGCGCCATAGGTGGCGCAAATTGGCAAAAGCCAATCGAGCCTTTTGTATCCGTGCAGAAATCTCATCGGCAACTAACCCACCGGAGTTGATCCTACTTCCCAGGTAAGTGAAGTGGTCAACACACTCAACCACTTCACTCTCTATTGTTAACCGCGGTACCGCTGAAGACCAGTCCTGGAGCAAAAATTTGCATTTGGGTGGTGAAAATCGCATCCCAAACATTCTCAAATTCCCACTCAAAGTGTTCAGAAGACTCTGCATCTTGTCAGCGTCTTCACCTAACAGGACTATGTCATCTGCATATTCTAGATCTAAGGAAAATTCACCTGTGATCGGGTCAACGTCTTTGTAATTAGGTGACGAGAGGGAAACCTCCATAAGAATATCTATGATAAAATTAAATAAGAATGGGGATAGTGGGCATCCTTGACGGACACCACTTGATGAGTATAGCTCCCTGGACAACTCACCATAGGCTCTAACATGCCCACAAGTGTTCGAGTAGAGAGCTTTCAATAAGGTGATGTACTTACTAGGCACGCCTTTCAGTGACAGACACTGCCATAAGACTTCTCGATCAACGGAGTCAAATGCCGCCTTCAGGTCGAGAAATACAGCTATTGTCGGGCGTCTGTAAGCATGCCTATGTTCCAGGACCTGGCGCAGTGTGAATATGTCAAGCTATACTCCTAAAAATGATAAAAGCATAGTGTTTACAGTCTGTACAAGCGACCTAATGTACAGTAAGAGCTGACAATAATTTAAACGTATCAGGAATATTCACACAGTAAAAGATATAAAGATAGAATGATAACACTTACTCGCGTTGCAGTCCTCTGAACATATTGACGAACATATCTGCAATTAAATCGACTACTTCATGGTAGTGATTTTTGAAAGCCATTTCCAGGTCCAAACCAACGAATTCTGTCAGATGTCGATGAGTGTTGGAATCTTCCGCACGAAATACCGCACCGACTGTGAATACCTATATACATATTAATATTCAAATACTCTGTTAGAAACCAAACAAAAATTGTGTGAAAAGCCCAGCACTATGAAGGTAGTACTAATATGGTTTGGAGCTGGATAATCAATAAGAGACAAGTCCGTTTTAAAATAATCACCCAGTATTCAGAACCACACAATCTCTATAAACACTTTTTAAACTTCATCTAGAAAGTCGTATGATCTAGTTAACTGGAAAGGTATACAAATATGTTTATGGAGATCTATCACTAAAAGACACAAAGATTTATCACTTGGAATAATTACACAAAAAAATGAAGGTATTTCTTCACGAAAGCAATACTTGCGAGAGCCTAATCCGGTAAAAAATACGGAACAGAAATGAATACAGAAGTTTACGGAACCACTTATGTAAAATGCTGGGAACCCTAGTTACACACATCTAATATGACTACATCAAGTAAAAAGGCAGTGAGGTGCAAGATGAAGAGAAAATAATTCAGTCAAAAGAAATATAAAGTACTAAAAGAGAGAAAGGAAGAATGAGAAAATGGTGAGATTCAGTATAGCGTCGTTAACATGACGACAATGTATGTACACATCTGCGCCACTGACATCGGTTCTCAGCCATGCCATCATCTAGAGTCTCCAACCACTAGTTCCTCTTGCCCCGCGGACCCCAACCACCACCTAGTCTGCATCACCCCACATGGCTCAAACCAACAGTCAACGACTTCATATATTGGTGCCATGTTTTAGTCTGGCCACCTCAGGCCTTTTGCCAACCTGGACCTACCTACTTCGACCAACATTATGTGACAGGACAGTCGGCGACTAGGCATACGTGACACGTGTCCCAACCAGCCATCTCAGTCGATGAAGGTTCATAACCTCGTCAACTAACTTACTTCTTCTCCTTAAAACTCTACACCTGACTTCTGCGTTCCTCACGCAGTGATACCATGGAATACGGCTTATATTACAAAGGCAACGGTGGTCAAACACCTGATGCCTTCTTATGTCTTCCACCTTCAATGGCCATGTTTCACAGCCATACAGTAGAACAGACCGGACTGCTGTGCAGTATACGCCACCCTTAATAGACAATCGGATATCACGGCGGCGCAATAAGTGGCGTAAATTGGCAAAAGCCAACTGAGCTTTTTGTATCCGTGCAGAGATTTCATTTAGGTGGTGAGAACCGCATCCCGAACATTCTCAAATTGCCACTCAAAGTGTTCAGAAGACTCTATATCTTGTCAGCGTCTTCATCCAACAGGACAATGTCATCCGCATATTCTAGGTCTAATGAAGATTCTCTTGCGATTAGGTCAACGTCTGTGTAATCAGGTGACGAGAGAGAGAAACCTCCATGAGAATATCTATGATGGAATTGAATAAGAATGGAGACAGTGGGCATCCTTGACGGACACCACTCGATGAGCATAGCTCCCTGGACTTTTGCATGTAATTTTGCATTTATATTCGATTCAGGTAAAATAAATGCTATAAAGTACTTTGCGTTCCATCTCATTAGAAATCATTTCTCAAAAACAGAACCAATATACCTAAGTTTGAGCAGCCTGAAAGATTTTGATCTTTACACTACATTAGATCTAAGAAACCACCAAAGCAAATACTGCTGAGATTTGCAGACACGGTATATAGGGAAGTAGAATCTGGATACTGAATAAACAAACATGATACCCGGCTTACTCGGATAACACAATGAAGAAGACAATTCAGATCCACTCAGCAAACCTGTGCACACTCGTGCACTAGCCAATGATGCACTTCTATTGTGTGAGGGCTAATGATACTACCTGGCTGTACAAACCTATCAGGTAAATTTATGAACTCAAGGCATGAAGCGTTCATTTTCTAAGATCTAACATACCCCAACACAGTGAATATTGTGCACAGTTAATCGATTTGTCACATCGTGTAGAAGTCAAGTATAAGTAAGTAGGTCATCTCGTTATCTTGCAATGGGATAATTTGTCTGAATACAGTGTGCTATGCATCCCAGTTACCGCACACAAGGGAGTTTATTTTTCACATTGACGGGGTGCTGTGCTTATGATCTCTTGTCATCATGTCTCCGGTCTGATGTGAAAATTTGATAGGCGATCTCTATTTCGATTCTTTTTCCACAGTTTGTGAAGGTTTATTACTTTACAATGAAGCAAGACTGAAAACTACAACTTACTATATATTCTACCTATAGAGACAACCGTTGACCAACGCTTACGACTTACATTTACCTACTATGTTATTTGTTTGAATCTTTTTGATATTTATTAAAGATGCAGCTTTAAGGATTTGATAAATTCAATCAAAAAGCGACAGATAATGCAACGATTAACAAATAGGGAATTACTGGTTCAAATATGCAACTTTCAACCACTGAGGTTCATGGAGCCGAAACGTTTTATTAACCATTGGAAATTATGTGAGAATCATACCCTACAAAAGTAAATAAAGCAACTGAATACAATAATCAGATAGTAACAGTAACTCAACCCATCATGTTTATGTATTAGGTTAGGAGCAACATGACTGTGAGGGCTTATAATACTGTAAAGGCCAACGTAGGCCAAGACTAAAGTAGGTGGAGCTGGATACGAATGCATGAACTGGTCGAAAGTCAAGTGCTTAAGCCGAAGAGCATCACCTAAGCAGTGTAGTACTGTTTCCATAAAATAGGCTACTAGCTAAAATTTATGCACTATACTAGGCAATTAAAAACGGGAACAATTGGATTAAATCTTAAACCAGCTAGTGTCTGAACCAATTAGTTTCAGTTGGATCACAGTCTGGTACAAAAACCTGCATGCGGTTTCCGAGCTACACCACACTCACTACAAGACAAATTCCGAATTTATGGATTCTGCTCCGCTTTAACTGATGAGGGGATTGATTAACAAAGCAATCCCCATATGATCACATAAACCAGAGAGAGAGAGAGAGAGAGTTCCGTCGCAGAAACTACATGCAGGTTCACGAAGTAGACAATGAAGCAGTTTTTGTGTGATGGCTACCGATACTAGCTGGCTGCCCAAACCTGAGTAGGTAGAGAGTGAATGGGTTGTGAAACCATGATAGGCTGACTGAATGTCGCGTATCCAGACCAATGAGCCACAGCCCTGCATAAACTAGGGAAATAACAGCTGAAGAGAATACCACTTTGTTTGATGGATAACTTGTTCAGTAAAGTTATGCTTGATTCATTACAATAACTACGATGATTAAAAGATATAATATTAATGCAATAGACTTAACACATATCAACCCCACTGGTGATGTTCATATTTAAACAGTGTCAAAGTCATCATAGTTTTATTCGATCATAAACAGCAAAACTGTCTGATACCTGAATCGTTTAGAGTTGCTAGAGTTAAAACGAAGTAGCAATCACTCAAAAGAGTGTTATAGTTAACCATTTGTATGCTTTGCATCTCTTTTACCCTACATGAACTATACAATATAAGATACTGATTCATCTTAAATAGAAAAATGAAATAGAGCTCTAAAACCAAAGTTCGGTCACTCATCTTCCTTACAAATAAAAAACAAAATAATACACTCAGTTAACACACTTGACTGAGTTTTTGAATTGAGCTCAAACCTGCTTTCCACAACTAAGGACAAAAAGCTGATATGATTTGGTCTTACATATTACAATAGACAACTCTTAGTTGGTCCATATTTAGCATTCGTAACTTGATATCATTTTAATTTAACATGGTTAGCATAGGCATGATTATGACAATAAATAACTCTACGTGTGACTAAGTTTATAAAATAAACATACCCTTTCAAAGTCAGCAGCTATGGCCATTTGCTTATACAGCTGAGGTGACTGAGCAAGATATGCACTCCCAGAGAAATAGGATACTTTGAATACGTTAGCACCGCCTTCAGAAGCCGCTGAAATCATTTTGGGAGTATGTATATTCACAAACCCAGCTTTCGTAAGGTATTCCATAAAGAAACGTACTACACCAGCTTCAACTCGATAAATAGCCTGGTTTACTGGGGTACGGAGATCAATGCATCTGTTATCCAAACGAGTATCCTGATTGACTCGACTCAATGTCTAGAATAAAATTAACAAGGGACAAGTCATAGTAAGTAATCCTTAAGGAGACATTTAAACTAGATACCCTAACTCTATCATAAGTAAGCAGATACAACCTATTTGTTCGGAAGACCATAGCTCGGTTCTTTTGCATTATGTGCAGAGTAAGGAAAAAGAAAGTGTTATTAAAAAGGCCAAAAGTGCAAATCAAGGACATCTGCCACCTCCCTGACCAATACCCGCTACCTTGACGTGGTGGGTGAAATTACACACCACAATGACCCAATGAGCTATGCTGGTAAAACGCTTGTTCCCTTAAGGTCCTACCATACTGGAAAGTCTGTTGGATAGTGGTGCGATGAAAAGCAGTTGTCATTGTAGTGTAGGTTACTACACTATGATGGGGGTCTGAGGGCCAAGTCGTACTGCTGCCAGCTGGACTAGGTGTGACAGCAGTAAAGCGTTTCTCTCAGCGGTCCAACGCTGATGTCGCCTTCTCAACCGAAGGAAGCTTTAGAAAAGGTCGGCCCCAAAAATAAAACACTACACCCTACTCCACACTTCCGGTGCCGGTGGTATGGATATTTTGTCAGTCCGGCGTTAGAACACCCGAACCTGAATATAACAACCCCAAAAAAGGCTGTAACAGGCCTCAACCAGATGTCCCATGGGCCATGCGGTCACACAAATCTTCTTATCCTTCGGGTACATCAAGAAGAAATTGATTTCTGCGGTGTGGGCAGCCGGAAAGCATCGACCGCTCGAACGCTTCCAGTAAAAACGAAGACTCAATCAAACATAGCCTAACCTCCTCAACTGTCTCCTTCTTTGCCTTTACCTCCTGATACTAATATTAAGCCTTTTAAACTTTCCCCAACATCTCACTCTGCAACTATTGTCAACGACCAAAGCCATCAAAACCTCATTCCTAGTCTCTTAAGACCTCACCAGCCATCGATTCCAGGTAGGAGCTTTCAATATCCAAACTTTATGCCAAGTCAGACATCAAGCATCACTCGCAAAAACTCTGGGGTCTGTATCTAAGGGTGTGTGCTGTATCTCTGAGAAATGTATACAGGTTCCGAGTGTGGTTATTAAGTTGACCTCACCTGGTCATAGGAGTGAATCTTCAAATTTACCTTACGAGTATCCTGAGACCCAATGGCTAGCTCTCATGGACTCGTTGGTGTAGGCATAGCACTGAGTTGTCCAGCAGTGTACCTCACAACTGAATACCAGTAAACAGCCGTCTGTGCTGTTCGACTGAATGAATTTTTAAGGACTAGGAAGGATCGGAAGACTAGGCGATGCTTATTCGTAATCTCCGCCTACGCACCCACCAACTGTAGTTCGGATGATGCAAAAGATGAATTCTATGAGAAACCATCAATTTTGCTACGGGTGGCAAAACACTCAGATGCAGTCATAATGGCATGTGACTTTAACGCTAAAGTAGGGAAGCCGAGTCAATGGAAAAAGCATCTTGGGGGTACTGACGGAATCCCATTCCAACGAACCGACAACAGTGATCGTCAGTTTCAATTTTGCTCCAACAATTACGTGTTCCTACGTAGTACTAACTTCAGGCATAAAAACAGACACTGTCTCACATGGCGTCTGCCGACTTCAAACCAACGATGAACAGATAGCGATGAGCCATTGGCGGAGAGGATTGTCGCTCTTTCTGGAGTTCCAGTTCAGATTACGATAGCGCGCTACTACGGGATCGTGTCTGCGCCTCATTGGTCGCAGGAAATAGACGGCAGTGAAGCCTGCCTATTGTCAATTGAAAGATGACAACGTCAAGTCCAAATTTAGGGAAGAGATGACCAAGTATTTATCTGAACATGACAGTCATGCTCATCCTGAGGCATTGTATTACGTCTGTTGTAGAAACAGCGCTAAAGACGATCAGCAACCTAAACAGAGAGATTAAAAAATGTCATTGGATTTCCACAATGTCATCTGAACTGAATGATGCGAGAAGACTGATTCCGGCTGGCTCTGACCATGAAGAAGAGCGAGAGCAACTTAAAGCTAAGTTGACCAGGAGTCTCTGCGTCGACCGCGAAGCGTAGCAGGTGGCGAAAGTGAGAGAGATGGAAAATGCATCACCGTTGGGTAACACTCGGCAATTACTTTCAGTTTTTAAAGGTGACGCCAACAAGACGATGGTGAGTGAAAACACCACTGAAAAGGAATACTGATAACCTTCCCAGGACGGGCGGTTATAACGTTGGGCAGAACACTTTGAAGCACAGTTCAACTGGCACTAAGCAACGCTTCACTTGCCCAACGTGCAGTCAGGACCTGAATGGGACGTATATGTTGGTCTTCTCTCACTGAAGTTGGAAATGCTATATCGAACCTGAGACGATAAAAGGCAGCAGGACCTGACAGTCTGCCCCCTGACATTTTCAAGAATGGGGGTGGAAATTGCTGATTAGAGTGACGGAGGTACTACGTAGTATAGGGGAATCAGAGGTAGTGCCGTCAGACTAGTCTGCCTCACTGATCATACCAGTCTATTAGAAGGGAGAGAAGTCTCGCTGTGACAATCATCGAGGAATTAGTTTGATTAATATCGTGTCCAAGATCCTAGGCTCCATAGTTATCCAACGACTAACTGAAGCTTGACAACGGAAAACTCGAGAAAACCAAGCGGGTTTCAGACCTGGACGAGGATGTATCGACCATATTTTCACTCTCCAAAAAGTTATGGAACACAGGCATACATATTGGCCAAAGACCGACACTTGCAATATTTCTTGATTTGAAGGCGGCATTTCACTCTGTCGATAGTGAGGGGTTGTTGCTGTCTGAATGTGAAAGGAGTATAGAGTAGGTAAATAACGCTAATCAAAGCTCTCTACTCGAAATCACGCACCCCTGCACAGGATTATGAAAAGTTGCCATGCAAATTGACTACATCTAGAGGTGTCCACAAAGGGTACCCACTGTCACCCTTCCTTCTTATCTTCGTCATAGACGTACAAATGGACATAACCTCAGATACGTCCGACTTCATAGGGATTCATCTACTCGCTCGAGGTCATTTAGTTGATTTGGAGTACGCAGACTATATCGTCATGCTAGTTGAAGACGCTGACAAAATGCAGGATCTTCTGAGCACACGCGTTGGACAGAAATCCGAATATGTTTGACATGCGTTTCGCTGTCATCTGTCAAATGTAAGAGGATTCTATAGGACTAGTCTGCTGCAATTACTTCCAATTTAATGATAGGGGGTGAAGTGGTGGAATGTGTCGACCACTTCACCTATTTGGGGAATTGCATCAGCCTAAACGGTCTGGTTGTTGAGAAATCTCAGCTCGAATATAGAAGGCCCGTTTGACATTTGCCAACTTGTGTCACCTCTGGTACGACCTGTGAGATATTCAACTATCTATCAAAGGACAAGTATACTGCAGTGCCGTTCGTTCTATCCTGTTGTACAGCTGTGAGACATGGTCATTGAAAGTATAAGAGATTAAGCGGCTACATGTGTGTTTGAATATAGATGCCTTCGTAGCATTGCTGGTGTTTGGTGGAATCCCCGTGTGAGCAATATTGAGGTCAGGTGAAAGGTACTAGGTAAGACAGGCAAGTCGATTGGGATAGCTTAGACGTGTACTGCGCATGCCAAGTCTCTGCCTACCTTGACGTGCAATGCTGGAGTAAGTTGGATCAGGTTGGAAGAGAGTTCAGAGTGCCCGGACTAAAACATGGCCCCAATCGATGAAGTCCTTGACTGCTGGTTTTAGTCGTGTGGGACGATGCCAACTGCATGGTTCGGGTCTCCGAGAGGCGCTTTAAGAAGTCGCAGGGAGCTCGCAGAAACCCAGTCTTTATCAGCGAGACGTTCGTCGACCTGCAAGCGGCGTTATTCGCCATTTTCATGGCGTCTAGCAAATGCAATCAATGCTCGTCTACTCTATCTGGAGGATCAGCAGTTAGCCTTAAATCTAGCTCGGATTGGTATTTAGCTGCAGTGTTAGCTGCAACTAATTTGCCCTCATTGACCTGTTTAGGACAATGATTTTGATAGCCAACAAATCGCAAGATGAGTTTAGCACACATTAAAGCATGATCAGAGTCCAGACAAGTACCACATATAGAGCGGCAGTCCTGTATACACCCAAACCATTGGCAGCAATTGAGTGGTAGCGGAGAGACAACAAGTAGCACAACGGTGATGGCAGAGAAGGAAGGAGATGCTAGCTAGAAAAAAGTTGTGATATGCTCAAAGCGTCAAAAGACGATTTCCATTGTCCGATATGCGGTTAACTAGTCCCCACTGGTCACCTAAGCGACTCTTCTCAGAACCCACAAGCCTGACCTGAGCATTTAAGTCCCTAGTTAGCACTATGATACCTGTCACACACATTTGGTTCAGAAAATCACTCAGTTGACAGATTTCATTCTTGGTGGGATCCAAGTCGCAATTCGTCGGAGCATAGGCAGAGACGACAAAGAGACGTCTTTTATCTTTCCCGTTACTTCTTACTGCAGTTGAACCTTCTAGCGTGAGGGAACGTTGGAATCCTGGGAGCACTAAACAGTTGTTTTGTCCTAGTATGGAAATATGGACCACTGAAATCCAACCCAGTGGCTCAATGGTAACGTGCTGGCGACGGAACCCGAAGGTTCCGGGTTCGATGCCTGGCCGTGCTGGATAATGGGTGCGCACTCCTGAGGAGTCCCATCCTGGAACGGCTGTCCGATTCTCCCAGGTTTCCAATGTTACTCCGACTGATGTCAGTCCATGATGAATACCAACTTGAAGAATATATCAACAAACTCAGTAATCGGTCAAAACGTTTGTGGTGCGGAGAGTTTGAGTATTCGCAAAGAAGCTTCGAAATATTCACTTTACATTGTAAATTCATATCTTGCGTGATGTCTGTGATACTGCCCAGGTGCCCAGACCGAAGTAGATGGCTGTCTTAGGCGAACACTCTCCGAGCCTTTGACTTAAAGTCTAATCCAAAAGGCAGTGAAGCAACATTAGGAGCTGTTTCCCCGTGGTTGCTGGTGACCAAAATAGGTTCATATGCTATTCGTGTGGCGTATGGCAACTTGAGTCGATGCGCCTGTGTGCGAGGTTCTAAGTTGATTTTTTCAGTATTATTCAGTCAGCAAATCACTAAGAATCGGTCTCGATTGCGACACTATATAACAAACACGAAATTGTCCAAATGATTCCTCAAGCTCTTTTACGTGATATAGCTTTTAATAAAGTATGAAACTAATAACTGGTATGAGATTTTGAAATCAGTTTGTGACAGGTCAGTTTGAAACTGATCAGTCAATGGAAACTATTCATCTAAATGAGATGATCTGACCACAACTTTTATTTGAAAACAAATCCCTAACTTTAGTTCTATTTATAATTTCTTCGTACACATTGATGACAAAGGATTCGGTTCTTCTCAATTTACATGAATCTGCGCATGCGAAAGTAAAACAATCAATGAAATGATATAACAATGATCGAACTAACCGTCTCATCATCATCTGCTCTCATCGCATCTTCAATTTGCAAAGGTAGAGTCGCGAGCGCAGAACTCACAACAAAAACCTTTTCACAATGGATTTCAATTGTGCCTGGATTGCAACCTTCAATGAGAACTGGACTTTTTAGAACTTGTCCGAAAACATCAATAACTGATTCTTTAGAAATGCTTTAGTAAAAGAAGTCAATAGATAGCAAACATAATGAAAGATAAATTATTTATGAGAAGTTAGTGGATGGAAATCCAAACTACCGGTTCTCAAAACCACATATTTAGAGTAATACACTACATGTATTACTTGAGTCTCAGCACAACTCAACTTATCGTCTACCCTACCGGTGTTCTAAGTTCACATAAGTTGTGTTAAATTATGAACCACACAATTTAGTTACCTAGGTTGGAGTAAAACGATTTTGTTAGTAAACGACTCAGAAGATGTTCGTTAAAAACAGACTGCATTGGTCTGGGCAGTTAACTTCAAGACAGTGAATTACAAGTCCAAACCTAGATCCATCTTCAAGGATTTTAGCAGTCAGGTACTACAAGTTGTCACGACGAATGTGGCTCTGTTTATTGCAAGAACCTGCCCATGGTTGCCAAGAAGATTCATTTCGAAATATAACAGCTGTTGTGGAGCCGCGGCTCACTACTCTAGGCATTCGACCAACTGACATGGCCACGGGTTCGAACCCAGTTCAATCTACCGAGGCTTGGGCAGCCAACTAACATGATCAGCTTCCATAATAACCGTGGCTCATTGCCTACTATACGAGTATGCACATGGTTACTGATTTCGATATTTCGACAACCGATGATGGTATTCACTCAGTTAAAATAGGCAGAATATAATCTTACCCAATTATGTTGGGTATTATCGTTCCATCATAAATAGGTGTGAAAAGACGTCATACTTCCATTGTTGATGCGTGGAAACAAAAAGTATAAATATCCAATCACAAGTAGTGCACAAGCAAGAGTATGGTTACTGACGTAACATTTTTGAGAATCTTTTGTTCAGTACTACCAATGACAAGGCCTCTTTTAATTCACTGCGTAAACCTAATCGATCGATCAACTAGGTAAAAGAATAAACGCGCTTTTAAATAACTGTCAGAAGCAGTTAATCATTAATAGCTGATAAACATTTGAAGTAGAAAATACATATCTCTGGAAACAAGCAAACCACTGCATCGATTTTTCAGAAGCTGACTGCTAGAAAAAGCATACTTTCCCCAGTTTATGCTCAATACCAAACTTTACCATTAAAACAGTCCCCCAAGCCACCTACAACCTCAGTTGGTTACGTTTTGCGGTTTTCCAAGATTGGTTTTTAATTCGATACCTCTCAAATATCTACGCTGCAGAGAATTCCAGTGACAAACTGAAGAACTTCCGGGAAATTTCTTACGCCGTTTTGTGCTACTGTTTTGAGTGCATTTAAATTTGCCGACCTCACACTTTTTGGTTTCATGATACACAGGAAGCAAACGGCTTAAAAATACCAGATGTTGCACTGTAATTTCAGTATTCAGTAAAAAGAAGTAAACAAAAATATACCAAAGTTACGTCGTACCTACAAAGTACATGCTTTAACCTACGCCAGATTTTAGTAAAGAGTTTGGTGAGTCTTATCCAAAAAAACAAGCCGTGCACGTTTTTAACGTACTACTTAGTCACCAGATATGTCAATTTCTCTTAAAACTAGAAAATTAACTTCTCATATGAGTCACTTAAGATGAACAAAAACAGAAATGATAGCTACCTCCACCAAGCACTTCTCGACCTGAAAAGTTTTAGATAATAAGCACTTGAAGAGTAGTGGTTCAAATAAGGGGCGTCAATGAAGGATATGCACACAAAAAGTAGATACCAGATATTTTCAAATCTCTTGCATGAGATTAAATACCGACTTTATATGAATAAAAGCAGAAGCGACTGGATGTCAGAGGACATTTCAAGCGAGTGAACAAATAGCTAAAGAACCATAACTAAGTGACAAGCCAGTATGGAAGGAACACTAGGCAGTATCTAGTCCTGTACAAAAATCAGAAAGTTCGCTAAGACGATACGTTGACATTGTACTGTAGGAAATTTGCCATTTCGCACAACTGAGGCGAGACTAAGATGATTCATCAGCTACCTAACGACGATAGTGCCGAAAGGTAGTTAACACTTGGACAAAGTATTTTTACTGACCAAACCAAAAGTTGCGTACAGCGATGATGAACAGGGTGCGGTTCACTTTGAACGTTCTCTCAGCCATGAGGCAATATTGTACATAAGATCCAAACTTTCCAGCCTAGTACAGAAACTGGTTTATTTCCGCCATACGAAAAAAATAACAGCTAACTTTTTGTGACCACGTCAGAACTACATCGACGTCATGGAGCAATCGCATCTGACAGATGTCGGTTAATCATAACTGAACACTATACAACACAGGAAACAGAACCGGTCTCAACATGAATTTAGAAGCGACTTATGAAAAGGTTAGTGTGAATCTATAAAACCCTTAAAATGTAGATAGAATTACAAAAAGAATCAAGTACTCACCTTGAGACGAAAGCCAACATTTCTTTCGGAGTACGCTCTCCAACAGACAATACGTTTTGTACCTTATAATCTTGAAGTCGTAGGATGAAGAAGCACAGTTTGCCTTTCATTCGACTCCTGTGGAGACGACCACGAACCCACACATGTTTACCAACGTAAGACTCATCTGACAAATCTCTCAATTCAATGTACTTAGGGCCTTCTGTGAACTGAGATTGGTGAAGTGGAAGAACACCATACGATTCGATAGTAGCCATTATCCCACCATCACCAGATACAGAAACAACTAGGTCTTTCTAAAGATTACACTAGCATTAAGAAACAACTGAAAACCACCTGGTCGTTTTCGACTTCCTGAACCTTCAATTTTTCCGCTTCTCTCTGTAGTTTTCTCAGTTCCTTCCTCGACTTCCTGTCTTCCTCCTGCTGAGTAGGCCCAGGCATCATCAACGAACACGTCAAGAATCAAAGGTGCATCCAGGGTCATGGACTTCAATATCCAATATCCAATATCTTTTAACGAGCTAGTGTAAACCGATTGATTTCTTCGCGTTCGCTTCTAGGTCTTGTGGAACGGTTCCGGGTCTTTGGTGGATTCCAATGCAGTGGGTTCACCCACTAGACTGCTGTAGCTCTGGTTAGCCCGACGGGCGGTTGGGTGTTGTTTAGATTTGTAGGGAGTGTTGTTTGTTTGTTTGCCTTTTCTTCCAAGGACTGTGGTGCAGATGAGTTCCTCAAATGTCGTGCCAGCAGACAATTGGTTGGACTGGTTGTAAAAAGGAGGTGAAAAATATGTGCAGAGAAATCAAGGAAGAGAAAATGCAAAGAGAGACAAAATAGAAAAAGAAAAGGAAAAAAGGAAGAAGAATAATATATATTATAAAAAGGATTAGGAAAAAAGAAACGGCACGGAAGAACAAACATTGGTGGGTTCATGGGGAACAGGTGATAGGGAGAGCTTTTGTTAAAGTTCGAGAACGTAAGGTAGGAAGTAAGAAGAATGAATAACATTATAAGAAGAATGGGAATATAGTAATTCTTTTAGTAGAGGACGGTAACTGAAGGGGACGCATACAGGAAGGTGTAAGGTTGAGCCAAGTTCTCAGTGATAGTGGTTTTACTAAGTGTTCAGTAATGGTTGGTCGTACCGAGTTAGTAAGTCGTGTAGGCCTAGTCTACATCCCAGTTGGATAAGCGCAAACCGTGCGTCGCTGCGTAACTGTCCAACCTCTTCTTGAAGCTGCCAACAGACGGAGCAGTAGCAGTCTTGGCAGGCAATGCGTTCCAGTGGCCCATACTCATACAGAGAACAAGCGTGATCGCACACGGGTCTTCGCTCTTTGGTGAGCGATCCTCCTTGGGTTACCACGAGGACCGCCATAGTGGCCGTTCGGTAGGATCTCACTGTTCGGATGACTTGGGTTACTGAGTATTTTGTAAGCCGTTATCAAGTCAACACGTAATCTGCGGTAGCTTAGGGAGAAGAGCCCTTGATCTTTCAGCCTGTCCTGATGTGGTTTTTGCCTCATTCCCATGACACCCTTTGTAGCTCACCTTTGGACTTTCGCCAGGAGGTTCACGTCTCTTTTCAGATATGGTGGTGCAATGACGCTGTGTACCTCTATGTAGGGTCGTATATAGGTCTTATGCAGCTTCAAAAAGAGTTCCGGGATCACGGCGCCCAGTTGTCTGCGCATGAAGTGCAGTACTGCGTTGGCCCTGGAGGCATCTCCTGGATAATTGGGGCTAGTGTCTAGTTTGCCAGTTAGTATAGTCCTATGTCTTTCTCTGTGTTGGTATGGGAGAGTTGTGTTCCACAGAGAGAATAGGGTACCTTCTGAGAGTCAGGGGTGCGGAGAAACATGGCTCGGCATTTATCTAGGTTAAATGCAAGTCCATTAATGTCCACCCACCCTGCAAGTAATCTGAGATCACTTTGCAGTGCACTTGATTCTGTTTCTGACGTCACAGCTCTCCATAGCTTAACATCATCAGCGTAAAGTAGAACTGGGGAACTGAGATTCAGTGGGTCGTTCACAAAAAGAAGGAATAGCAGCGGACCCAGAATCGCCCCTTGTGATACACCAGGTGATGATGTCCTCCAAGTCGAGCAAACTCTGTTGGCTTTTGTGCAGAACTGTCTACCGTCCAGATAGTCCTGCAACCACGAAAGCACTTGTTCCTTGATGCCCAACCTTCCTATTTTGTGAACAAGAACGGTGTGTGGAACTGTGTCGAAGGCCTTAGTAAAATGCAGGAAAATAACATGGACAGGAATTTAGAAGTCCCAGAATGCCGTCCACTTATCACCTGCCGCCAGAATGTTTGTGGCACAGGACCTACCCTTTCTGAAACCATGTTGTGCATCAATAAGTGCTCCCCTCTTTTCTAAGTACTCGCTCAGATGGTCGTCTACCAGACTCTTCATTACTTTTGACACCAATGGTAGGAGGGCTGCGGATCGGTAGCATTTGGATTCTGTCTGCCTCCACCTTTGAAGATGGGGACAGAATAGCACCTTTCCACTCTTGTGGAAGCACGTGATTGTCTAAGGAGTGTTGAAACAAGTTACACAGCGGACCGCACAAGGCACCTGCTCATTGTTTCACCACAGCCGGTCGGATGTCATCACACCCTGGTGATATCCCTGGGTGAAGTTTTGACAGTTTTTCGAGGACCATAGCAGGAGTTACCTTTATTGCAGGTAACTCTACTGCGTTTGGTGGTGCTGAATTTCAGCCGGACAGTTGGTAATTTCGGTTTGATAGGGACGCATTGAGTTGCGTATCGGAGGTGGCGCTAAAGTCTTCGGCGATCTCTAGTCCGGAGAGGTTCTCTCCGTTTAGGCCTCTCAGGACGCGAGCCCCCTGGCCGGTGGATTTCCTGCCTGCCATAAACAGATATAAGTTATTGGGATTTGCCTAGAGCTTTTGAGCTGGGTTCGTCTGGAATGACCTCCTGTCTCGTCCCACTCCAATGTTACATCGATTTCTTAGGGCAATATACGCGGTGTGGTCAGACACTTTTCCGAAGGTCCTCCACTGGTGCAGCGCTTCCCTCTTGCCTTTCAAAAGGCGTTCAGTGCCTCGCTTCAACCATGAGGTTTGTTTCCGCGGTATTGCTGTGATTACCGGGACGTTTTCAGAGACAGCCCTCTTGATGAAATCTTTGACTAGTTCTTAATGTTGGTCAGTCGACAGGTTGCTTCACGCCCAAGGCCATGGTGCTGTCGACAGATACTGGTTCACCGCCACGTAGTTCGCTTTGTTGTAGCAAAGACGAGGGCGTGATGCCTCCCATGACAGTTGTTCTCAGAGTACCAGATCGAACACTACCACGCCATGATCGCTGCTGCTAAGGGGGTTTTGAACGTGTACATTTCCCGCCAGCAGTGGGTCACTGGTAGAAAGGTAGTCCAGTTTAGACGGATTTCCGCCCGACCCCCAGCGAGTATCATCACCAATATTCTCGTGCAGTCCAGCCTTTTGGAAGGTGTTGAGTAGGTTTCGGTCGAACCTTCGGCTTGAGGTTTCCTTGTCCTGCCCAAGATTGAGAGTAAGAGCCTTAAAGTCGCCAGCTATAACGACCTGGTCGTATCCGATGAACATCGCTCGGGACATTACTTGCAGCAGTTGTCGGTTACATTCCACGCTGCTAGTAGGCGTTCTGTGGACGCCTCCTACCAGGTGCCTGGTGTGTCCAACCTTAAACTGACGCCAGATGGAGTCTGGGAGCCCTGAAAGTAGGGTTTCAGTTGCTCGTTCACTTTTAAGATTATCGCTTATAAGCATCTCCACTCCGCCTCCTTCTTTAAACTCCCTGTCCCTCCTGAACAGACGCGTACCGTCCATGCTAGTTTCGACGTCGCTAATGTCAGTGGTAACCAAGTTTCTGTCAGGATTATGATCGTTGGAGCAAGGTAGGAACAGAGAAATCGTAATTCCCCCATTTTACTTCTAAGTCCCCTCACATCACTGTAAAGACACTTGGCTACGTTTCTGACGACAAGGGGTATCTTGGTGCTGGCAGACTGGAGTGAGTCGTGTGTAGTGGCGAAACTTGCTATGGGACGGCCAGCTGCAGTGGAACCGGCCCAATCCCGTTTTTTCCGACAATGGTTTCTGGGGGGTTCATAAAGTCCAGGCTTGATTGTGCACCTTGTCTGTTGACAGTGATGGTGATCTCAGAGATGGGCAGTGCTGCCACTTGCTGTTGTCGCAGTGTCCTGGGCCAGCTTTCATAGTGGCGAACATTCCCAGTGATGTTATCTTTTGCTGTGTACCAAGTTTGCAGTACACTGGTTAAATGTTCTTGACAGCCAAAGTTAACAACCATCATCCGGGGTGCCGTTATCGTCGTCAAATGTGAGGGACGTGGCAGTCTGAAGACCGCTGCCACTATCCCATTTAGCTCCATTCTCGCTGACAGCCGCTGCTATTACTGGACGTCGTGAGCACACTTTTCTACCACTTTGCCGGTTGTCAGTTCTGGTATGCCATGGACAACCACAGTTGTTGGTTTCAGCGTTTGGGGCGCCCCGTGAGATACTTTTCTTGCTGACCAAGGGCGGTGTGGTCTGGCTCTAATGCTGGATGGCCTGGTGTGTCTGACATCAGCAGGAATCTTTCCGCTTCTTTAGCCGAGCTCAGGGTAACTATCATTGGCGGAGGCTTTCCCTAAGGTGGGTAGTTGCGTTTGTAGAGCCTGCATAGTTTTGCTTCTAGACTGCCCAGTCCTGGTGTGGTGCATACGGTTTCCATTGCTGCTTGTCAAACGATTCTCTGTTCTCAAGGCGTCAAATAAGGTGATGGAGTTCTACCTGTCATTAGCTTCTCTATTTTCGTGGGCTGTGGGTGGGTTTTTGCGGAAGGGTGCACCTTCTTTTCCACTATGACCCGTTTTTCCCGTTGTACAGTAGGATAAACCTCTAAAGTGGCTCCAGGGTTAGGGACGAGTGTAGTTGGTCGCGTACCCAGTCGTCGCTTTGGTCTTTTTGGATTATTCACCGGTATGACTGGCCGGGGTGCAGTGCTGACAATCTTGCTGCTTGGGCCTGGGGTAGTGGTCTGTGTGGGTGCCGGCATCACAGTAGTCACTGCGATGTCTTTTATGACCTCCATCAGCCAGCCTTTAGAAAAGAGCGGCCTCATACGGCACCGTCGGCAGACGTACCAGAACCACGTGCGTGGGTAGCACGCCACGCCGTCTCTCAATGGTAGCCTTCTTAGGTAGGCTGGGGTTTGGGCAGGCGGCACCAGAAAAATATGCTGGTCGATGAACCACAGCACAATGGTTAACAGGGACAGGAATTCGACTTTTCCCAGAAGATGGTTGTTTCAACTGTCCTCCTAAGTTCGACCCGTGATCTTTTGAGGCGGCACTAAGCTTTTTACCTCTGGCCCTCGGTACTACCACCGATGGAAAGGTTTGTAACTGGGATGAGGCTTAGCATGAGATGTTCCTGATACCAGATTTGGTTAGGACTCGA